TCCACCATCCACCATCCACCATCCAAATGCCATATAAATCCACATATTATATCTATTACATGATTAATATAATTATATTATCTGACACTCTTTTCATTATAATCGCTGCGATTCTCTTCCGTCTTCGATAAAAACTCGATTCTTCAATCCGTTTAATCCCTCGGTCTATTATTTATACACGCGGCGATAAAACGAAAAATAAACAAATAAAAAGAACTCCGGAACAACGCGCTATGGTGTTACGTTACGGTGCCCTCCCGGAGGTATAGAGAAATACGCGGAGGTTCGTTGACAATGGTACGATGAGAAAAAATTAATTTCTCTTAAAACTTTAATCACTCCTCCTTTAAGCTATCGTTGGCAATAAAAGCCATTTGATCACAATCACAGATTGATTTTCAATTCTTAAAAACATCTATTTAAAACATCTATGACAATGAACGCTGCCTTTATAATGAAATTACAAATATTTTAATGTTAACAAATGAAATCTTTTACATATAAACTATCGAATCTCGAATCACTGTATTATTTTTTACAAGATTTTATTACTTTGTTATAAAATTCTTTTTTTTCTTCTTTTTTTTCTATACTCTCGAAATTAAGTTTTCAACTGTTGTTTCGTAAAAAACAAAAAAAAAAAACAAAGAAAAAAAATTTTTTTTTAAATTGCCCTTGCAAATTAAAATCGTACTCGATACTCAAATTTTTTTCATCTTTTTTTAACGTTATATGATTTATTAATGATTCATATAGATAATGAATTGAATTGAGAATAAGAAATTCGAAGGACAATAGTAAATAATAGACATTGAGAATAAGAATAAAATTAAAAATATAAAAGCCATTTCAGCCTATTATTATTTTCTTCTTCTTTTGCTTCAGATAGAAATAAACGAGCACATGATTACTCAAAATACTTACTTTTATTAGTCATTTATATGAATTATTTTATTTCGTACTTTTATATAATTTGCTAAATATCATCAGCTATATTTACATATCATTGTATGAAACTAAATTTCCGCGAGTTAAGATGTCGTTGTAAAATAATGTATATTTTTATATGTTTTTATACTCTAATAATATATTGAACCATTGACTATTCAACTTATCAAAGTTGCCTTATTCACTGTTTCTTCTTCTTCTTCTTCATCTTCTTCTTCTTCTTCTTCTTATTCTTCTTCTTTTTCTGTTTTTAATTTATTTATTTCTATTTTATAGAAACATTCGTAAAAAACAAATCATTTTGTAAATATTACATCTATTCGCCAAGTATAAGTGATATTCATTTGTCCATTAAATTATTCGTTTGATAAAAGAAGATACAAAAATAAAATGAGAACGTTAATGTCTTTATTATTATTATTATTTATAATGTCGAGCGTAATATCTATAAAAGAAGATTGATTTATTTGCCCTTTCTTAAGCAATCTATGTTAAGCGTCGAATTTTGTCGAAATTGGGAAAAAGAGACATGTACAATTAAAGAGTACAATTTGATATATTTTATGTTATAAATAACAAGCAAACTTACTATTTTTAATTAATACTGATATTCCCAATTTGGACGAGACGAGTCGATAAGGCGAGTATAAATGCGTGATAAAAATTGCGACGATCAAGAGCATAATTATTTTATTGATTAATGTAAAAGGAAAAAAAAAAAGAAAAAAAGTTAAGTCTCGCACAAACGGAGTATATATAATACAGATTATTTAGTTCGTAAGCACTAATTTTCCTTTCCACTCTTCTAACGCAACACTTTCACTTTAACTTTAATATTATATTATGTTCATTAAAGTATTGATAATATATGAATAAATAATCGAATAATTGCGAGCAAAAAGCATAAGGATGCCGACTAAATGTTTGCTCAGAGTTTTTCCTTTTGACAATCGCATTAGTATCTAATCATCATAATCTTTAACGAAAGATTAATTATTATAAAAATGTTAAATTTTTCCATATCAACGTAACGTCTCGCGATGATTTGCCGACTCACGTGCGCTGTTTACCATTGTAAATCGATAAATTTTAAAAGAAAGTTATTAAACCAAAAAAGTTAAATTCCTAGTTCGTTCTTGCATTCCATTAGTGCCCATCCACGTTGTCATATTTTATATATAATAAATAATTAAAAAAAAGCTGTCTTTTAACTAGTCACTACAGTTAAGTATGTATATATATATATATTTTTTTTTTGTTTTTTTTGTTTTTTTTTTTTATAAAGAAAACAAAAAATAAATTAAAATTTTTAATTGAAGATGAAACGAAAAAAAAAAAGAAAAAAAGAAAACAACAACGAAAGTGAAATTGAAAGTTTTATCTTGATAATTTTTTAACGTTTCAGGTAATTTTTTATTTATTTATTTATTTATTTATTTATTTTTTTTTTTATCAGTGATGAATATTTTAGTTGTAAATTCATTGATGAAATATTGAAGATCGAAGAATAAAAGCTTCGGTGAGTATTTCTTTTGTGATATACGGATACCAATATATATATATTTAAAAACAACCTTATTTTTTTACAAATAAGTGACGGAAATGTTGTTTATAAAGAAAATCTGTGTAACGAAAACCAAAACTAGCCCATTAGTATAAAGGAAATGTGTACAATTGTTTAAATGTCGATTATTATGAAAAACAGTTAGTTAAAATGAATTGACACTGTAATATGACACAAAATTTATTATTTCCTATAAGCAATAAACATACACGATCACTTTACTTATGCAATATCAATATATATTTATACTTAAATACACTGCATTTGAATTTATAAGTAATATAATGTAGCTAAATAATATATATATATATATATATATATATATATATTTTTGTTTTTTATTATTATACAGACTCACTTTCCTTCTATTTTTATTCTCACGCACTCTTACAATCTATGATCAGAATTATTTATATATATATATATATATATATATATATGTAGTCTACTTAATTTAGATATTATTTTGACAATGCGAAGAAATGGTTTTCATTCTTTCTTTATAATTTCGCACTCGACAGTCTCTCAATAGAGATACCATATAACGACGTTTCTACAAATCCAAAACGTCGAATGCGTCCAAGTCTGCAAAATCGCAGCCTCATACGAAAGTATGTGGAAACAAAACAAAAAAAAAAAAAAAAAAAAAAAAAAAAAAAAAAAAAATTAAAAAAAAATTAATATTCCTTCTACGCGTATGGGTTCGTAAAAAAAGATATTTGAAGTTGAACAGCATCGATTTGGAAATACGTTCGAGTAGGTATACAAATCTTACATCTTATAATAACGTAGAAAATATATCACCTGCCAATAGAAAGATTCGTCTCGTGAAGTTTAATTTATCTCGAAAATAAGCTTCAAGCATCAAAAGTTTTGCTTTTCTCCAATTTAAGTTTATTATCGAATAAACTTGAAAATCCAGTGGAATTTAATTTAACAGGCATATGTGTACACTCGTGATTTGCTTAACAGCGCTATTATCCGACTATTCATAATTATGTAATAAATGTTGTTAATACAAGCACGAGACACAATCCTGTAATGAATAATTCCTCCCTAAAAATAGCATTGGGCGTACACATTGTTGCTTTTACTTCCTGATATTGACTTGATTAATATTTTGAATGGATTGTATGATGTAAAGGCAATTCTGGCCCCGCGTCATATTCAACGCATTACAATCTCCATCGATTATATTTAATACATTAACGAGTGTATAAAAAATAAAAAAATAGCTTTATAAAAAAGTAATGTTTGAATATTAAAAGTGTCTCTCTCTCTCTCTCTCTCTCTCTCTCTCTCTCTCTCTCTCTAAAATACAACTATTTATGCGTAAAGGCTATCGTTTCGAAAATGTTGCACGACACTACCGTGTACTCGCGTATACATTATGCACAAAGTATTATCTTTCTTTTTCTTTTTCTTTTATAAACAGATTTATTATTATAGGTTGAAAATAATTTGTCCTGGCGCATAGAAGAGTAGTCGCAAACTACCAAGAGCATAAGCTGTGGTGCGGACAATATTTTGTACTCTTTATTATCCAATGGGATATCGTGGCGAAATTTTATCGAGCGGCTTAATTTTACATTATGTTATCACTTAATTGGCGTGTGTCAAAAATCACTTGTATTCTCGATTAGTTAGAAAAAGTTTCTTTCTTTCTTTTTTCTCGTTTTTTGTTTTTTTTTTTTCGTTTTTGTTTTTGTTTTTTTTGTTTGTTTTGTTTGTTTTGTTTAAAAAGTTTTTAAGTTAAAAGAGCCGATTGATGTACAGAGCTTCTTCGCCAAATGAAACGATTAAGTATTAGAGTAGAGGTAATAAGTGTACAAAAGTAAAATTTTAATTTTAATTAACATAACCTATTTGCAATAGGTTGATAAATTTCACAAATTTATATTAAATTTTGAATCATTATGATTTGAATTAAAACAAGAATTAAGAAACGCAAAACAACATTTTCTACAATCTAAGGGAACTTCAAAATATCTTGACCAATGACGAGCCAGCGAAAGAAAATAACAAATAATAATATTTATTCATCGATCGTGATAGATAATTTGAAGGTTCTTCGTGGCCTGTGAGCTGAAAAGGTGACTTTTATAATTTTATCGCGTGTGGTCTAAGCTCTCCCTACTTCTGCCAACGTAATTCGGAACAACCGAGGTGAAATGTTCATTGAGATATTAATTTTTTAATCCCGACTCTATCGAAGGTAATTCTTTGAACTTTTTACACGGCCCAATCTCTCATCTGCGGACCTTCCAGCCAATTGGCATTAATTATTTTATAACAAATAATTTTCGGTCATTGTATTCGGCCCATTAGCAATCGTGTTTTGATTATTAATGGGGGATAAGCTGGTGGTAATGGTTGCGACGCTGGTTGGGACGGGGGAAAAATTGACATGAGGGAATAATGCAAGCGGCAGGGATGAAGACGATGAAGGATAATATATGTATATATATATATATAGATATATATATATATATATATATATATATATATATATTGCACGAATGCGCATGTATCGATGAATTTTTAATTGTATTATCGCTTCGAGTCGATCAAGTCTTATTGTCAGTTGCGTCCACCTTTACGTCGCTCACGGGCCACGAAATGTTCGACCAGCCTCTCACGTTCTCTTCTATGCCTAGAAAAGAAAGAGGGTGGTCTGCCTCGCTTGCTATTTAGTTGCCTCTGGTGGACAGTCGGGCTGATTGTTAGGATGAGCGGCAGTGAAGGCCGGATGATTCTCTAAGTTTCGATCCACTCTTAAGATGGTTGGAAAGGGTCTTAGGTCGACGTGAAACCTTCTCGCGTTAAAGATTTGTGGCACCAGACAGCAGTCTGCAAGCGTGATCTCGTCCCCGACGCAATATTTACCAGCGCTCGACGACAGCAATTTTTCCACAGCTGTAACGTGTCCAAAAGAACAATGTATGTTTATCAATTATGTAAGGCTGCATTGCATGTTTATGTAATTGGTGTGTAGTCTGTGATAGCTTGTAGTATTTTAATTGATAAAATGTGTCGAGTGATTTATAGTTTAGTGCGGTGGATATAAGATGATTCTTTTGTTTGCAAGACCGAGGCAAAAGGATCAATGAAGTAATATTGTTTGCATTGTACAAAAGTAATAATCAATAATTAATAACGAATAACGAAATTGCGATTATGTTATTATTGCGATTTTACATGTGCATGTGTAGTTTATCTTGCGATGATATTGAAATAAATTGACATTACGCTTGTTTGAGATTTGAGTAGAGTAAAAATCGAGTAAAGAAAAGGTCTCTTATACTGAAACGATCGAGAGTGAATTGATTTTACTTTTAAAAAAATTAATGATTCTATTTCAACTTTATGGTCTCTTTAATCCTACAAATGCCATTCGCTCGAGCAATATTTCAGCAACGCAGTGCCAAACCACTAGACACCGTTGAAACGAACACAATTGTAACTACGCTTATTTGTAATTAAAAAATTGAAAATCTTTTTACAATATATAACTTGTAATAATTAATTACACACACGCACGCAAGCACGCACGCACGCACGCACACGATTACAAATTATTTTATTTGGCAAAATTCTTATATTATGTATAAGAGACTGAGTATTCGTAAAATAGAGTATACCAGTAAAGCCTCGAGTTATCCAATGTTGCGCCCATTCTTTCTTACGCTCCTCTCCAACGTAAACCAGTACAATGAGATTTTGTAGAGGTTGGATTCCAGCTGCGATTACTTCACAAATTTCCCTCACTCTGGCTCTTTTCACTGGATCTGCTGGCATTAATGGACGGTGTGGTCTCGTTTCTTCCAAGTACAGTAAAATATTTAGCTGCAAAATGATTTTTCTCATTAAATTATATCTCTCTCTCTCTCTCTCTCTCTCTCTCTATTATTATTTTTATTTTTTTTAATTTTTTTTTTGTTTTTTTTTTTGTTTTTTTTTTGTTTTTTTTTTTGTTTGTTTTTAACTGGTTTATATATAAACTTATGTTATAAACTAATAAATTCTCATGTAGTAGTAGTGCTTTAGTCCCTATGCATATTGGAATAGAGACCAACATTTTATGTAACGTACTTCGCATCTAATCAAATAATCACAAAATTTTAGTATCGTATCGTGTCATGGAATTTTTTTTTTTTTCCCCCCAACATCATAAAAACACATTCAACTTAATATAGCATCTATAGTTTAAGTAAATAGTTATAAAATTTTGTTTACAGATTCAATTAATGTATGATTGTCAATATGGAGTGCCGGAACCTGTTCCATTGGATTGATCTCTCGGAATTCATTGCTATGATGTTCACCACCGCCTTTCACCAAACTGATAGGTTTTATTTCATATGGAATCTCCTTGAGGTTCAAAGCTGTACAAATAATAAGTTTAAAAAGAAACGTGCGTGTATGCGTGCGAGCATGCGTACACGCGCGCACGCACGCACACACGCACACAAAATACAAAATACAAAATACATACGTTAACATACATGCATGCAAAAACAAGCAGCCAAACCAACAAACCAACAAACAAACACACACACACACACACCCACACACACACACACACACCCACACCACGCAAACGCATAGACAAAATTTATTTTGAAGTTTAATATATATTGAAATGATTAAAAGTAATATTTTTATAATGTTCTGTACGTACCTATTCTTACTCTCCACGAGCAGGAGCTTCTCCAATATGAATAAAGAATTGGCTGTGTCAAAAAAGATTAATCATTGTAAATATTGTTAAGTAATTTAAGTTTAAATAGTTAATAAAAAAAAAAAATTATTATTCAACGTATTTTTTAATTACTTTGTATAATGTTATAGTGAAATATTCTCAACAATTGTTTATACAATATATGCTCATAAGTACACATAGATAAAATTTTACTTGTCAATTTAATATTTAATAAACCAACTACCTAGTTTATTCAAATAAAACATTATCCAACCGTTTTATTTCTCGTTTTATTTTTCTTTCCTGCCAATATTTAACATAACATCGCTAGATTAATCGTATTAATTAACTGGCATTACTACCCCAACAGCACATGGACATGTTAAGTACAAACTTTTACAAATGTAATTTCATTAATTTCATAGTGAAAACTTGGCGCTGCTCGATTACGTTACGAATCGTAAAACTCGTAAAATGTCTAATGGGCACTAAACATTTTCTCGATTATCAATGCACTGTGATACATTTCAAAGCACTAAACGACAACGACACGTCGGCATTAATAATACAAAGGCTAATAAAATAATCGGCGGCGCTCATGGAAATTAACAATAATGGAACGAATGGTACGCGCGTCAGCTAAACTCGAAACTCCAACGACAAATGTAAATAAGCATCGCGATATGCATGCCGAGAAAACCGTTTCCTCCTCTCAAACCCCCTCCCCCGCCCCACCCCACCGTCAACAATCCACAACTACAGGCAAATGTCCTGTCCTACCCGCCAACTCGCTCGCTTGCAATCGCGCGACATACCGACACGCGACCTCGTTGCCCCCCTGGCGCTACCCGCCGGCACCGCCACCGCCACCACCACCACCACCACCACCACCTCCACCACCGCCACCTCCACCACCGCCACCACCGCCACCACCGCCACCACCGCCACCATATTATACACATTCTCGCGGCGACCCCGGTAAAAAACAATCTCGTTCTTCGACCTTCCCGGGACACACGTTCGACCGAACATAATCGGAATTTGTTATGGAAACTCGTCACCGCCGCGTAGATGAGATGGGAAGGACGCGATGTCTCAACGCCACCGGCACAACAGCCTATCCTCGTTGCTCACACCAACGCACATAAACACGGGAGCGGCGGGCCCCGCGTCGAGCCGCCGCAATTTTACACGAGCGAGAGGAGGCCCCGCGCGGGCCATGACGTAGCGACAAATATTCGCCGTGATAACGCCGCTCCGTCCTACAACAGCTATCCAATGATGCTAAGCGAGCGCCACCGCCGAGGAAAGTTCATCACCCAAGGGTTGAAAGGTGGTCGAGTCGAGGCACTCACGAGGCATCCTGCATCCTGCATCCTTCGACACTCACCTTCCCCATGACGGACATGTTTCTGGCCTGTCGGGCTCGCGCGTCCCGCACCTACGGAGATAAGACGCTGCCCTTCCTGGGGCTCCCGTCCGCTGAGCCGTGGAGAAGCTCGAGGTCCGACGAGAGCGCGCGACGTCCAGGTCTCTCCTCCTCGTTCGGCTGATAAAAGCCGCCGGCAGCTGCTTTTTGCGTCGGTGTACGTCGCGCGCCGTCGATGAGAGCAGGAGCCGCGAGCTCTCCCTTACCCCTCACCGCCCCCGCGCCACCGCCGCCGCCGCCACCGCCACCGCCACCACCACCACCACCACCACCGCCACCACCACCCACCGCCCCCTCTACACCCGTCGCCCCTCGCCCCTCGCCCCTCCGCGTCTCGCCGCGACCCCACTCAGCATCGCCCTAACGCGATCAAATGGCCGTCCCCCACCCCTCGTTCCCGGCGAATCCGCGTGTGCGTTGTCGTTATCCTCCGCCCCCGACCCGCCGCCGCTACTACTACTGCTCCCTCCCAACCCTCCCCGTCACCCCGCCATCGGCCGACCATCCCACCATTTGCGCACGACGTCGTGACGTGCAGCAGCGGATACGAGATTCCGGCCGATCGCGAGAGTCTGGCGACGGGATGGATGGATGGATAGATGGATGGATAGATGGATGGATAGATGGATGGATGGATGGATGGATGGATGGATGGATGGATTGGGGAGACACGCGCTAAAAGCAACTTGATCTCGCGCATCTCTCTTTATTCATTCACCGGAGCTGAGAAATTAATATAATAATCGATTTGATGAGTCTTCGTTCGCTTTTACTCGACTACTCTTCCATTCCGACGCCACTCCATCCTTTTTAACTAATATCAGTCGGCTATTCTTTCCCGACTCTTAACGCCTTCATAAATAAATATGCTCGCCTCCTTAACTTTAGGGCATATTTAATAACGAGCTTCGAGCAACAATTTTAACGGCTAAAATTTAACGATTAAAAGTTGAGTGAACGAGCGGAGGAAACCTAGGCACCACCGCCTATACTTCCGTACAATTTATACACGAAAGCTTCCATTCGATAATAATGATAATAATAACAATAACAATAATGATAACGAATGACGGACTCTCGTAGCTCGGCCGCTCGCTCATCTTGTCGCAAAATGTAATATTCACTTGCAGGGATTACAGCCATCATTTATCATTATTATCCACTGCCGTAATTCTTAAGCGACGTCGTTAAAAATTTGACGGTTGCTCGCACTTACGAAAAACAAGAAAAATAAAAATAAAAATATTTTTATCGAGCACACTGCGACTTGGCAGTCGATTGACAAACTTCAACTATTCTCTACTATTTAATTTCGGAAATAAGTTTGTTAATTATTGTTGTCGTACGCCCGCTGGTCGACGATTTTCCTCCTCATCATTTTTCATTCGATCATTTAAAATCTCTAAAAGGCCGGCCACTTCTCTCACAATCACTAGCAACTCGGCTGTAAGCATTTAGCACATCATTATAATCCCCACGATATTTTTATCTTTTATTTATTTATTTATTATTTTTTTTGTTTTTTGTTTTTTGTTTTCTCATCATCGCTTATACGTTTAATATTTAATATTTCATTGTCATTGTCGACCTAATAATCATTCTTCGTCCTTTCAACTTGCCATCGTTGACATTAATAATTTGCATTTTGTAATTTGAGAACCGATGGACGAGCGCCATTCCTAATGGCGAATTTTAGTTAAGTTTTAGAGAAACGAACTGATTGTAAGCATCGAAAGAATCGCCGCTGCTCATGGATTTTTCACCAACGACCGACAGCATAGCTTCCCTTCCACACCCCCCCCCCCCACACACACACACACAAAAAAAAAAAACAAACAAACATAAGAATTCAAAATGATCGACAATTCGAAGGGTCATGCTAGTATTATACAGCCTGTAACACTGTAATATAATGTAATATATATTATCGCGAGTAAATTACATCGAATTCTCTACGCTATTAACAATAGCAGCTTGATGAAGCAAAGGCTTCGTTTGTTTTTACGTGAAAGCAAAAAGGTGGAAATTATTGTTAGCACGTTCTGCAAAAATACAGCTCACGAATTATGTAATTTAAGCAAGAATTTTCTACGACTGTTGGAAAGAGTATGAATTTTACATTTCTTCGTAAATATTGGAAACATCTGCAATACATTAATTTTACGTTTGATGAAATACACAAATGCATATGCCTAACACAAATATTGGCGTCGTAAGAGGCGAGATTAATTAATTAACATTTTTATAAAAAGACTCGTATTTTATTTACATAATTGATCATTCAGGCTTAAAACAGCTCTAAAGCACTTTTCAATAGTTTATACATATCATAGGTATATAAAAAATGATAATAATTTTCTTTTAATTTAGTTCACGATTAAAAACGTTTAAAATTTCATTGCTTATTATTATATTCAGTTGTAAATGTGCAGCCAAGAGTTGCTTTATTATTTCCAAATTTCAAATGTTATGTTAAAACCTCATTATTATTATTATTATTATTATTATTATTATTATTATTATTATTATATTATTTATTATTAAGTTAATAAAGTGACGAATGAAGCAAAGGATTTATCTTGATAAACAATATAAACGGATTATAATAATTTATAATCCATTCGTTCATGTAATAAAATACGCGTGTGTACGATTTTATAAAAAATTATCAAAATAATGATTATTAATACGAATATGAAAACTAATAATTAAATTACAAATATCAATGCATTCGATGCTTCTCACTGTTCTCCATTACACGAATAAATATATACATACTAATACAATATATTATAATAATAATATATAGTCATTACAATTATTACTATTATAATTGTCAATTGTCAATTGTCTTCAATCGTTACCTATTAACATTTACTTGCAAAAGTATTTTCATAATGTTAATTTTCATCAATTACGCATGTAACTCTATGAATATCTTGTAAATTATCTCAAAACTAATAATCTCGCTGGGGATATTTAGAATATTAGTAAAAAAAAAAAAGAAAAAGTAAACAAATAACAAACTTAACAATCACAAATGCATTATAAATACTAATTTTCAAACTGCATTTTGCCAATTACTTACTCTCTTTGGGTAATTAGTAGCTTTACAACTCGAGAAACTAGAAATGTTTTAAGTTTCACTCGTTATGCGTATTTCCTCTTCTAATATCCTCTCCATTCGCAAACGAAGCATTTGATTTTTATTTATTGCAGTCTATTTGCATTTATTTGTAAAATGTGTGTTTCATTTCTATTCGCATTATGTAAAAAATTAGAATTTGTTGGTAAAACTTTTAAAACCTCGTCGGTTAAAGGTATATTACTTTCGCAGGTTATAAACCAATTTAACCCAAACACATTCAGACGTTAACCTCCTTTCAATAAAGAAAAGTCTCGGTAAGAATAAACATATTTATGAATTTATGAATTATTGATAATTTGATAAGTAAGTAGTAGCGTTTTTAAATTGTAAATTGTAAATTGTAAATTATATCTCGTTCAATATTGCATTTGTACAGTTGCGATAAAGTTAAATTAGCTTGTATGGAAATTGCATTTATCGGTACTATTTATTTTATTGAAAAGTAATTTTAATTAATATTTGGTCTTGTAGTTTGACTATATAAATACGAATTTTGTGTATTTTGTTTTTCTTTTTTCTTTTTTTTTTAATAGCTTTTTCATTCGCCAGATTCAAAATGTTTGGATGGATAAAATATTTAATCTATAAGAACATTGCCTCGATGAAGCAACAAGAAGCAATGAATTATAAATACAAATTATCGGTAGTGTATTCTTTAGCGAGTTGGGCTTTATTTGGCTTAGTAGTTTATTCGATAGCCAAGGAGAGGGCACCTAAATTAAACGATGGTGAAGTAATCTAAATGCGTTTAGCCTGGCAACATAATACCTAACGGTGGTTGAACATTTTTTTTTAAAAACTTTTATCTTTCTTGTTTAAGGCATCGATTATAAAAAATTATTGGATATTAAACACTCGTTCTCCGTCATAAAGTTTAATAATTTCAAGAAGCTACACGAGGAACGAGTATATCCCGCAGAATCCAATGATTTGTACGAAAGCTCGGAACATCAAGAGTTACAAAACGTAAATTAGGATATTGTAAAGTTGTGTTAAAAAATAGGAATGAAATATAAGTTAAAGGTAATTTAATATCGATAATAAATTGTAAATTATTTTAAATTGTACATTATATAAATGTTATTTAAAAATTTAACATTTAACAATTGTCTATACAAAGTCTCTTTTGTATAAAAAAATACCTTGTCAATCAATAAAATTTAAAACATTTCAGTGCCAATTGTTCTTATATTGGCACCACTAGATTCGTCATTTATTTCCTTTGATCTTTGTTCTATTTCATATCGAAGAGCATTTCTAAAATAATAGTATAGCGTTAAAATATTAATTTTTGACTTTTATATTTTGGTAATACAACATTGAAATTTACCTATACTTTTCATATCGCATAACAATCTCTCGTACTTCTTGCGTAAACAGTCTTATTAACATTGCATTGAAACAATCGAGTTCTGGTAAACGAAATAATTCCCATCTTAATTTACGATCTAAATCAACCGAAGCTCTACTGTATACGTATAACCAATGAGGAATTTCTTCGTTAATGTATGGATTTGCTGGTACTAAGACACTGCGCGAATGAAAGTTTGTGTGCTGCGGTGGTGGTACGACTCTCACAGCTTGTATTTCTGATGGATAACAGGGATGCTGATATTGCGCTTGTCTCGTTATATGGCTAAAAATAATTTTGTAAATCATTAATGTAGAAGTAATGTTGAAGACTACATTGTGCTTAAGGTAACTATTTGAAACTTTTACTCTCTATACGGCTTCAACGATCTTATAATAAAGCATAGAGCTTTCTTTAGAGAGACTATATTTATAGTGAAATAATTACATCTAATAAATATTAATCGAATATGCCGGTAATTTTACAATTACTGTTAAATTTAATGCATTATTAAATTAAATATATTGCGTTTAAATCGATACAGAAAAATATTTAAAAGAAGATGTATATACAACGGACATTTTATTAACTCGGATTCATTAAAATTATATTCCTCTTTAAAATTGATTCATTGACGTTATTGGCCTAAAAAATAATACCACCGTAATATTATTAGCCAAATAATTAATTTCACTAACTTGACATAATATACTCCATATTCTTGCGAGTCTATCCTTTCCCATCCAGTCGGTAATCCCTCTTTCTCTAAAGGATGCGACCAATGCGTGGTTCTGGTATTATGATCTACGTAATATTTTCTACCTCGAAGTGTAAAATAGACGGACCAGCCAAGCGGCAAAGGTAATTCTTCGGACTGCTCGTTCCTTGAGCTTGGTCTCTCCGATATTGTGTGACTATAGCTAAAGATAAAATTTTAAATGTCGCCAATGTCTAAGGGAATACAAAATTTAAGCTATTATGGATTAACGTTAAATTTTGTGTACGTACCCAGTATTTTGTCTGTACTGAGTTTGAGGATTATAATCATCATATCCATTATCAATTTCGTAAGAGTAGGGTAACTGTGGCGTTTGCTGATCTCTATCCAAATGGTACTCCGAACCGGCGTACTGATTAACGTATGTGTGAGACAAAGCAGGTGACAAACTGGGCTGATAAAGTGGCGTTGCAGTGCGCGATGGCATCCCATCGCTCGAACCGGAATTCATAGATAAACTGGCAAATCTATAGTACAAGTCATATTTTATGTACAAAAATTTATAAAACAAAGAAACGAGATTGAGAGTGAAATAATAATAATAATAATAATAATAATATATTAAATATAAATTGGCTGTTAATACAATGGAGGATAAATTTTGCAATTATTGCGAAGCATTGATAAAATTAAATGATTTACTTATAATGCTCATTGAGAGGTTCGAATCTAAAGTATATACCTTTGGGCCAAATCGGGAACCGAGCTATTAGGTGTATACTTCCCTTCGTGACTTCCTAAACCAACGGCACTCAACGTAGATTTTGTATTGCCAAATTTCTGTACCATTGTCGGCTGTTGGGAACTTATGGGTATCGACGCAGCAATTGCTGGCTGATTTAGCCTGCGTCTCCTTATATTCGGTTCCGTAGTCCAAACATTGATAACTTAAAATGACAAAATACATTTGTTGAAATTAGTTGCAGTGGCCTGCAAATATATTACTTAATTTTTAGTATTAGAAAGCACTTGCAATCTTCTCCCATAATACAAGATAAAATCTATGCTATCCCGGTATACCGATGAGCATGGTAAGTTAATTGTAAGGACAGAATATAAAAAAAAAAAAAAAAAAAAAAAAAAAAAAAAAAAATAGTCTTAGCACTAGAGGGAAAATTAGTTTACAAATGGTAAATAGTACAAGAGTCGAGAAGCCTGTCTCGTTGTACGGAGAATAGGTATGAAAATTTTTCCTTTACTTTAGTAATTAGCAAATGAAGATTTATGATGTTTAATGAAACGATAGGTTTGAAATGTCATTAAATTTGGTCAGGGTATCGTGTCTAAAATGAAAACACGGAGTCTCCCTCCTTCTCGACGACACGAAAAGTACAATTAGATAATAATAATAAAATTAGCTTCTACGTAAGAATGCAGGATAATGAGAAAGGAAGTCGAGGAAATGGAAATGAGCGACAACCAAAGCTGGCATAATAATAATCGACGATGATTCATAAAATTCGTAAAAAATACAGATGAAAAATTGTAAATAAGGGCATAATACTGACTAGGCATCTCCGGTGGTGTGTCCTTCTTAACATACTTTCCCACGACACCCTCTTTGATCGTCCGCAAGTCTTTGTTTTTGCGGGAGAGCATCGCGCTTCTTCCCCCGTCCGATAAATCCCCTCGGTATCTTAAATAATCGTTGTTAAATCAGCAGCTCAAGCAATAATAATAACCTAATAATCGATTTTACGTCCGACGATCTCGCGAATCGGTCGCTACGATGATGCATTGGAGCTCCGCTTCGCAATTAACAGAGCTGCTTACGACGTCCCCTCGCTTCCACATTTTTTCCTCTCTCACTCTCTCACTCTCTCTCTCTCTCTCTCTCACTCTCTTTCTCTCTCTCTCTCTCTCTCTCTTTCTTTCTAAACACTCCCTTAATTAGCGTATCCTCGTGCGGAAAGCACAGAGTCCGCGAAAAGCACAGCTCACACGCATAATAATCGTTTGTCACTCGTTCACGCACCCTTCGCGTATCCTCGCACTAATGCGTTTGTTCGCGGTGGGGGACAGCTGTCGTCGACATATTGAGACGTGGGCGCATGCGCTAATAAACAAGCGGATTTGCTAGCTGCGCAGGCGCCTCCCAACGATTCCTTCCATTCCGTTAGGTCGTGCTCGCGTTGGGTAAGAAGAGGGCCGGGGAGTCGTGCGGTTTTTGTTTCAATATCTCACAATATCTCACAATATCTCATTTAGTCGTATTTAGTCGCGAGTGAGCTTGGCGTTACGTTATTTTTAATCGACCTCCCTAATCGAGGCTGCTCCATGTATTATTGTGACCGGATGAGTAAAAAATTTCGTCGATAAATTATATTAATCCGAGGATATAGTTGCGGACAAATGTATTTATGTTTATCGCGGATGGGAGATCGATCCTTAATATAATATTCCTCGTGTTTTTACAATTTTAAGATACAAGTTCTTAAGCGGCTTTTAAGCCATAAGGATCGAGCCAACGATCGCTCGTCATTGACTATTATAAATAATGACAAGCTTGTATGGAACATTTATCACACTTTGTAGCAGGATGGGTAGCTGGTATTTTCGAGTTTTTGTTTTTGAAATTATAACTGCCCTACACTATGTCGTATTACGTATACCAAATTATTATATAAACGAATGACAGAGTGATTATCTATTTTAAGGTATGTTCGGTGTAATAGTGGGTCATCCGATGGATACCATAAAAACTTATCAACAAACGAGTAATGTTGAATTATCGATGAGACAAGCTATTTTTATAATAATAAAGAGAAATGGAGTAAATAAATATCACGTATCTCTCATAATATAGCACGTGCGCGCGTGCGCGCGCCCATCACACACAACAAACAACAAACTAACGAACGAACGAACGAACGAACGAACGAACGAACGAACGAACAAACAAACAAACAAACAAAAAGCATTGCGTTAGAAGAAGTTCTTAATAAATAATTATTACGATTAAGTAGATTTTGAGCTATAAAAATTATATAAAATCATAATATCGTGAATTATTTGGATATGTAGTTTAAATTATACTATACTCGTCCCGTAAACGCGCGCGCACACACACGCACGCACGCACGCACGCACGCACGCACGCACGCACGCACACACAAACAAGTAAAGAAAAAAGATATATTTTGAAATGGCAATGCCGATTCAATTACAAATTGCAGATTCAAGGTATGTACAAGGGAATATTATTTCCTTTATTGTGTTCAGGATGTTTAAATTCCATGTACTTTGGCGCTTATGAAATTTCTATGAAATCTCTTCAAACTATACACGGCAATGAAAAAATTCATCCGACTAATGCTTATTGGATGCGAGATTTATTCATTGCTGGTTGCATCGGTGGCTTTGCCCAGGCCTTCTTATCGTGTCCGACCGAATTAATTAAAATAAGAATGCAAATTGGAAAAGGTATCGATTGTAATAATAATATTATTTATTTATTACGCTATATGTTTTGATTTTTTTGCTGGGAAAATTTTTTATATATAAAAAAAAAAAAAAAAAAAAAAAAAAAAAAAAAAACTTGGCATTTCTTTCAAGGAGCGTTACGTCGTAGCGATAGTAGTAATAATTCAACAAATCCTTTAGGTTCATGCAAAACTGCATCGAACATTTATAGAAATTATGGAATTCATGGCTTATTCGTTGGACTGCTACCAACACTTTTGAGGTAGAAAAATCATTTATAATGAATATCAAAATATAAATATCATCATATCTGTTTATATTTTTGTCATTGATAAGTTTGATAAACGGTTTTGGCATATTAGACATAAAATAATTTAATAATTTTATATTTACATTGCTCTTTATTTAATTAATAGAAATTAAATTATCAATTACGTGTGTGAATTAAAATTTTGAACGTTTGGTAAAAAATAGAGATACATTTGGTGGTGGAGTATACATTCTCACGTATCAATATACAAGATATTATATGTATGGTAAATTAAATGTTAATCCAGGAGATATCGAAACCATTGTAGCTGGTGGTCTTGCCGGTAATGGATAAATATTTGTGCCTTATAAATAAGATTAATTTCTATTATTTATTTATTTTCCTCCTTTTTCGTTCATTTGATTAATTCGATTTAATTAGGTATGGTATCGTGGATTCCAGTTATACCCTTTGACATAATAAAATCGAGAATACAAGCGGATAATTTACAAAATCCAGTATATAAAGGAATGGCCAATTGTACCGTTAATTTGTTTAAGCATTCACACTGTTTTGGATTTTTTAGAGGTTTCACCGTAATAACTATACGCTCTGTACCTGTGAATATTGCAATTATGTGGGCCTATCAATTCGTATTATGGTTTTGCAAGCAGCTTCGTGCACTTGAAATATAGTTATTGAAAATTGACTTGAAGAACATTATCGTAAACATTATATTTAGCTAAAATACGATGTACTTACCATGTTATTCCCAATAAGAAATAAATTGTGTTTTAATTGTGAAAGGGGGGGGGGGGAGAGAGAGAGAGAGAGAGAGATAGATAGATAGAGAGATAGATAGATAGATAGAGAGATAGAGATAGAGAGAGAGAGGGAGAAAAGAAGACGAAGAAAAAAAATAATAATAACAATAATTAGTAAACTTTTGTTGTATTGGTTGATTTGTCACTATTAATCAAACTATCTCCTATAGCATTGAATTTATAGTACTGCGTTTATTTTAAAACTTTTGTACAGCGAGCTCTGCGATTTATCCCGTTTACGAACAATAAAACTAACGATAAATGATAAATATATGTATATATGTATATATATATATATATATACACACACACACACATACATACATATATACATACATATATATATATAAAGTGAATGTAAAACATTTTATTTATTTATTTATTTATTTATTTATTTATTTATTTATTTCTTTCTTTCTTTCTTTCTTTCTTTCTTTCTGTCTGTCTGTCTGTCTGGATTCATCACCTAGCCTTAATTTCTTATTCGTACGCAAATAAGCGATGTTAAAGGAAATCACAGAGTAAAAAGTAACGGAAACATCTATTTATGCGACTCGTATTCACAATAGACTGGCTTTTTTTTGTATTTTTTTGTTGTTTTTTGTTTTTTGTTGTTTTGTTTTGTTTTGTTTTATTTTACCTACATTTACGGGATGTTACATCATTTACAAACCATAAAACGATCGACGTGAAGACCATGCACTAAGTTTCATTTACGGGGAGGAGGGCTGAGAAATAAGCAGCGCCAATGTCAGAGACGAAAAAATTATATGGAGAATGTCATGCGCAAAGTTTTGTTGTTGTGATCCTGTCTTTCTTGTGGCGAAAGAGAATTATGAATCAATTAACTCATTTTTCAAACGACCCCGAGAGGTCAGTGATTAATTTATGAGAACGTGAGCAAATCAGCACTTCTGTTTAATTCCCATTTATTTAATTATTATTAATATTCTTAATCATTTATTCGTTCGTTATTCACTATTACTATCATTATTATGCATTGGTAAGAAATTTTTTTTTTTTTTTTTTTTTTAAAAACGATCCCACGTACACTTTTACGGTGGCCAATGGGAGCACAGCTCCGAATAAATCTTATGCATTGTATCTCTATTATTTATTGTATTTATAAGCAACCATGGATATTTTGGTACAATTGAATTTTTTTTTTTTAATTTTTTTGTTGTTTTTTTTTTTATTGTATATATTTGTCCCTCGCTTCTTTTATTCACTTTTTATTTAAAAAAACAACATATACTTTTTTACGTTTTCTCTTTCTCTCCCTCTCGTTCGCTCTCACTCTCTCGCATTGTTTAATTTTTATTTTAATCTCTTCAATGGATTCAATCTTAATCATTAATGTTATTTATGCGTTCGCATATTCCTACGATGTTCATCCATGAAAAAAAAGTATGCACGTCGATTTGCGGTCATGCATGCAGTCAGCGCAATGTTAGTATCGATAGCACATGGGTATCCTATCCTTTGTTTTTCATTATAATCATCATTATCATTATCATCGTATTCACCAGCAACATCACCACCACCACCACCATCATCATCATCATCATCATCTCCACTGTCATCATCAGCATCATAATCATAATTGTAATTATAATTATAATAATAATAATAATAATAATAATAATAATCATAATTATAATTATAATAATCATCATCATCATCAGTCACGGCAACATTATCATTATCATCATCATCACTATGTAACTAGTGTGTGTGTGTGTGTGTGTGTGTGTGTGTCACGACAGTTTCGTGTTTATCGATTTTTTTTTTAGTGTAAGTGTGTGTGTGTGTGCTCCTCGTGTTGTCACGGTGTATGAGTGAGATTGTTCTTTTGTATTCATCGAATATTACTATACTTAATAATATAATGTATTATGTATATATTTACCTAATTTATTATGTTTTGTTATAGTTATCAATTATCATCGTTATCATTAATACGAATATATGATACATTTCAAACAACGCCCCTGCCGGCAAGAGTCGGAGACGAGGATCGTGTAAAAAATGGGCCCCCTTCGACTCGGAGATTTACACGTTCAATTGTCAGCCCCGCGATATTTTCAAAGATGCCAAGTGCTATATAATATAATAACTCTGCATTGTCGAAAATAATTGGGGGATCATGAAATGACAAGTTACACATGCGCACGCGCATACCTCTCCATTTAGGGCCTATTTTTTTCATTCATTTCTTTCTTTTTTCACTTCGTTCGTATTTTATTTTTTTTTTTTTATTATTATAATGATCGTCTGCCCTAACCGAGCACAGCTAACAATTAAGGAAATATGTAATGTCAACTTTTAAACACCACGTGGCAAACACGTACCGAGTTTACATCGATAAGCAGTGATATTTATCTAAAAAAATATGTCGATTTACGAGAAAGCAAAAGCCTTATTATTTTCCCTGCTTAATATTAATGTACTATGATGATATCATACTTTCGACCGAATGTATCAAACGCACCTTTACAAGTTATTGGAACGAAAAATTAATAGCTCGCAATAATAAATTGAAAATATTTATTTCAATGACTTTTGAGGATGTCATTAACAGATTTTCTCAAAATACTGCACGCGTATATTATTGCACTACGAAAGTTTCAATAAATTTCGATTAGGCACAATCAAAGTACTTGTTACAAGCAATTATTGATGTATGCTCGGTTAGTAAACAAGTGTGGCAAAGATCGACACGACACATCTCTTTAAAAAAGGGACTAACATTCTCGTATTATGTGCTGACATTGAGTACACCATACAACTTAAACCATTGTCGTCAAAAGAATAAAAATTAATATACACAATAAAACCATTAGAAATCATCGATAATTATGGCGTTATTAAGAATGAAACCCGAATATATAATCTGCTTCTTTTTATCTCCCCCCCCCCTCTTTCTCTCTCTCTCTCACTCTCTCTCACTCTCTCTCTCTCTCTCTCTCTCTCTCTCTCTGCGGAGGCGAATCTCAATCTCTACACGCTTATTCATTTTTTCTTGTCCTCCTCTTGACTGATCGCCTTTTAGGCGCAGTTTGCGAAAGAGTTACGTTACGTCAGAAATTGCCACCATTAGACATTATTTTGTTTTCACTAACAACGATAATTTCTTTTGTATTTTTCTTTGTTTTTAGTGTATGGACAATCGACGTAATCTAAGGACTAACAGTTGGGTAGCGTGGTAGTGAATTTCCACCTGCAAGCACAATAAGATTACATTAATTAAATTCGATTTTAATACCATTTAAATTAATAAGCATACTTGTGAAAAATACATTAGTCTCTCGCCTACGCGTTACATCTTAATTATTTTTTATTGTGAAATAATAAGTATTTATTTTCTTACTAACTAGTTACTTTTCACCAATGTTTATTCACAAATTAGAAATTAATGAAACAATGACGTACGCTGTATCGAATATACATTCCACTGAAAGTTCAAAAGCATTTAATAGACATAACAACAACGATCTGTGATAATATTTATTGAATGACAGTAATGCCGATGAACTGATAATTAGGAATTTTTACATTTTTATGATATAACACATAACGTTCGAATACATAGATTTTTTCTCTTCTTTTTTTCTTTTTTTCTTTTTTTAAATCTATCAACTAAAAAATGCCTCTTCAATTTTATCTTTCTTAAATAAGTTTTTATTATACAATAAAAATCAAATATAAAATCGTTAAAAAATATCCACGCAAACGTAGCTTTCATATACACACATTTAAGCGTATTATTTTAATAATACTTAAACAAATGTCTATATGATATATATATATATATATATATATATATATATATAATAAACCTCTCTATCTGAACCAAATACTTGGTAATTTTTTTATTTTCAATACTAAATAACAGGTAATTTATCATTTTTGAAATAAATAAAATCACCAAAAACTGTCATTTCTCAATAATATGTTTGTTTTTTCAAATTTTTTTTCTTTTTATAAAGAAAAATATATATGGTGTGAAACAGTGTAAGAGCATTCAAAGCCTTGTGCCATAAGGACTATAAATTTCATAATTAAGGATTTACCAGCTCAAGGGCGGGCACGCGTCGCAGGTGTAGTAGAGGCAGGAACTGGACTATTTGTTGGTGGTGTTATATGAGGTTGACGTCTTTTTATTTCCAGCTCATTTAATTTCTTCCATAGCTCGTCCCTTTCCTTTTCTCTCTTTTTTTCTCTAAAAAAAAAAAAAAAATTTATTTTATGAGTGTATGATTGCGCCTTCCTTACGAACTTTAATATTTGTTTTAATCATCAATCGTTGTGTTTCAATATGAAATAAGGATCCGTCAAGATTTATTTAAAATTAATTTAGTTACACACACGCACGCACACACGCACGCACACACACACAAAATTAAAAGAAATTTTTTTTTTTTGATCATTGTAAGTAATGTTTAAAAATTATTCGGATTTGTATAATTTATTTTGCATATTAAACTTATAGACTATTATATTCAACGTGAAATACCTTTTCAATATATGTTTAAAAAATTTCACTTGATACAATAATTTACCAAATTGTGGTGACTGATTATGAAATTCATGAAATTAAACATGGGATAATCGATGTTTTTGACAATGTTTAAAATTAAAAAGTACATTCGAATATCTTGACAATGCTCTCAAATTGTTTAATACCCGCTTATCGAGCTTCAACATAATTAATTACGAGCTCAGTAAATAAGTGATTTGCTCGAAACTATGGATTAATTATATTTGCAGAGCATTGTATGTAAATTGAGCGAAAATTGAATTACGTCAAGATGATAGCCAGTTTGAAATATAATGCCGTGCAATGGGGGAAAAGCAATATTAGTGGCATTATCAGAGTTACGTGTTACATACTTTTGCCTCTCAGACTTATAACTGGCAGTAAGTTCATCAAAGAGTTTGGTGTTCATTTCCATAAATGTTTTGAGTACGTTATAAACGAGCGCTACGATCGTCTGATTCCAATGCTCTTTACTTATTCTATACAGTGCTGGAAACATTATACCCATTATTACTTGGTTATTTTCTTCGATTAGCGACATTATGTACTCGTTATTCCAGAAATATAGTGCCCTCTCTGCGATCTGAGGAAAATGAAATATCAGTCAGTCGTGCTCATTTATTCGTTAAAGCGATAAAGCATTGGGGCCATATTAGAATGATGTAAACCTGAAAGTGCGGAGATGAAACGCAACGTGCGATTTGCCTGAATAGAGGCTCTTGGATTTTAACAAATTGGCTAGGTTCTATGACATCCAAAATCTCCTCTATTTCACCCAGGAACATGACCTCTTTCTGGCTACATGTCTTGGGCCAGAATTTTAAAAGTCCTTGCACAACAGGTTCCGTTAATGTAGCGTCCTTTTCGAGAAATTGTACCACACAGTATGCTAATTGTGCGTGGTACAACGATAAACCCTTAACCTTATGTAGTGGTAACAGCACCTGCGAAACATTGTTTGTCAATTGTCGTAGAACTTTATTATTTTATCATTTCGTTTAATTGATTGACACGGCCGGTGTATATTGGACAAGGATTATAACGTTTTTTCATTGTCTTTTTCCCACCGCCGCCGCCCCCTTCTCTCATTAAAAACTGATTTTCATTTAACGTAGAATTTACTTCGAACGTTTCTTCGCAACTATTTAATCAGCTAGTTTAGTAGTAAATGTTAAGTAACTAATTACATCGCTGCTCTTATTCTTATTATATCTCTTATTATCGTGAGTTGATTTTTATCGTACTAATTAATTGTCCAAGTATATCCAAGCCTTTTCAGTCATGCGAATAAAAATATGCTTAAATACTTATTCCTATAGTCGACATAATTAATATTATGAAAATTTCCAAAATACTTATCGTATTATATGTGTTTGCAAATTTATTTATAAACTACTTTAGTGTGCTCGGTATTCATTTCTATTTACACTGATTCATAGCAATAGGTTTATTTATTTATTTTTAATTGTTTTTTTTTTATTTATTTATTAATTGCCGATAACGATGATAAACGACGATTTACCTTGACCAAAAATTGCTTGTGTTCGACTTTGAGAGGCAGAGCAAAGCCATTGATAATGCTGCCCAATATTTCTAGAAGTTCTGCGACTCCGTTGAAATGTTCCGTTTCGTATACAAACCTAATTATAAATAGATTATAATATATTGATAATTCCTTTAATAAAATGATCATTTATATATATATTGTATCGATCATCCGTGTAATTCATAAAATTACCTGAGGAAGATGTTGTTGATTTGTTTGCGTATGAAGGCTCGAAGGCCAAGGAACTTCCCGTAGATACGATGTAAGACGGTTTTTAGAAAATCTCTCTCTCTTGGGTCCTCCGAATCAAATAAGTCCAACAACTAAAAAAAGTGCAAATGTTAATAATTTCTTCAATTTATTGGGCAAACAGTTAAAAAATTGCAAACTAAATCCGTATGCGCTTAAAGATATTTTCGTAGCTTACATGTAAAACAAATTTTTGGTCAATCACTCGTTTCCCAACGTTCTGTTGAAATTCCGAAGACTCGAGGAAACGGAGAAAGAACTCGTACACCAGCTGAAGGTGGGGCCAGCTCGCCTCCAGTGTTGGATCATCCTCTTCAGGATCGAAATCTGGATTTTCACTAGGTGGCAAAGTACGAAATATGTTTGCCGAAATCTGTGGATATAAGGATTGGTTGTTTAATATTTTGTAATGCAAGTGCGATATTTTATAATCTTTTTAATCAAATTATTATCAAACATGTTCCTTAGTTTTAAAAGAATCTAATAAATTTTGACTCTATTATTACTATTGTTATTACTATTATAATATATATATATATATATATATATATATATATATTGTGGTACGTGAAAATGTTTTTTGACACTTTAAATAGTTTTGTTAATGAAATAAAACGAAATATGATAATATGAAATTTACATATTTGATGAATGTACATAATAGATACATACCATGCGTCATTATACATTCTATCGATTATTATTACACATTAAGCCTAGGTATTATTTATTTATTTTATATAATTTATATTGAAATAAATGATTCATTGATTATTGCGCAATCAAAGGGTCTCAATTTCGAATGACGTTCTTCAGCTGTGCATTCAGGAATTGTAAATTTAATAACAAAAAATTGATTATTTACGAATATTCTAAACGTATATTATAAGCTGAGAAAATCCAATCTAATAGAAAAATAAGGAGCAGAGGAGTTTAATAGAACGCTTGTTGTAATGTACAAGTGTAAGTGGGTTTTGCATATGTCGAGTTCACCAGAGATATATGAAATGGCATGGAGCTGTCGCTCGCTCCATTTTACCGTCACTAAATACATTTTCAACGAGTTGTAACTTTTATTGGTTAACGATAAATCATTATGCTCCTCCAATTTCCCGATTTGTTTATAAATCTAACAAAAGCCATTGGACAGTCTTATATCTTCGGCGCATTGTTATAAGATATAACGATGTTTATTTATCGAGCTATTTATACCCGATTAATTGTTTGTAAATGAAAATTACCAGTTTGTAATGCAGTCATAGCGTTTAACATATTATCAATAATTTGCTTCTTATCGTAAATGTGAGGAGGCCATGAAAAATAAAAGTTTTAGTAATATTTAGATATTGAAGTGAATAAGGGCGCGTGCAATTGAATTATCTAATATGAAAATTTTATTGTACAGTTACAATTAATGTGCACGGTGATGGCTTACAAAAGCAAGAGGAATGTTTTACTTTTCAGCACTTAAGATTCCAGGCAAAATTTCATTCTCAATGACGATCGTGACGCTTCAACATACTAATTCTAATCAAATGCCTTACGATCGATCAAGTAAAAACAATTGCCATTCGTAAGCTCGATGTGCTCTGTTGTGCTTTATCATATTAGTTATGAAGGGCCGAAAGAGCGGAAAGTTTTAATGTAATGACAATTAAGTAAGTATTTTAAGTAAAATTCTAATCATTTACAAATTGGACGTTTATAAATATGAGCGGTCTTTTATTTTTCTTCATATTTTTCATAATTTCGATAAAATTACGCACTTCAAGTGGATTAACGAAGCCTAATGCTTTACACGACTATTATCATAAAATGTATTTTTTCGGAAGCGAATGAAAAAGTCGATGTTAAATTATAAATAATATTCAGGCAATTTAAAGGAGTATGTCGTCAATTGTCTTGGGTTAATGATAATGCGCAGAGTGAGGGGGAAAGGTTGAACGTATAAATAATTTTATCTCGACGCTTAATTTTAAATAAGTAATTGCGAAGACCGTGAAAATTGCATTGTTAATGATAGCGCAAAATATAAAATGCATAGCCAATTGCAAATAAACTTGCTTTTGGCTGAATAAAGTCTGAAGTTTGCTAGAATATAGGCCGCGTTCAGTTGAATCGCGAAGGAATTTATTATTGGCGGGAGCACCGGGGAAAGGAGTGAGCAAAGTCGAAGTAGAGCGAGAGCAGACAGAGCTGATATTAACTTACCATCTTGATGATTTCGGGGTAGACTGGCTCGGTGAGGACCCCTCGGCCCGCTGTTATATACTCGACGAGCTCATTAAGGGTGCCCCGTTTAATCTCCTTGCCCTTAAGGTCCGCGACCGGATCTACGAAATCGAAAATCACGCAGCATTGTCGCAACTTCCGGATGAACAGCTCCTCCTGCTCCGACGGCGTGACTTCTGCGCAAAGGGAAAGCAGATACGGCATTCTTAGTTAATTCGCAATTTCGCTTCCTTGATTTTTCTTATTAAGTTCTACGCACTCGAGAGATCGCGACGCATAAATTGATGAACGAATGTGCGCAATTGCATTTTGCCGTTAAAGTTCCTTTCAAAAACGCATTCGTGTTTTATAATGGAGAGGCTGATTTTATTGTAATAAATGCATGCATTTATTCTACCCTTTTTGTCGTTTATTGAAAAAAAAAAAAAAAAAAAATAAATAATAATAATAATAATAATAATGATAATGATAATAATGATAATGATAATGATAATAATAATAATAATGATAACAATAATAATAATAATAATAATAATAAGAAAGGATTATAATGGTTTATTGCAATGATAACGCGTTGTTCGTTAACAATAACCGGTTCTGTGAATCTTAAACGTCCGTTAATAAACTACGAATGTTTTTAAATAATACGCTACTTGATGCAATGATAACGATAGTTAAGGGCTCGGCAGAAATAAACCTATATTTTTTTAATTTATCAGTTTCATTTATTTTCTTTATTCTTCATTACAATTTATGTGAAATAAATTTAGAAGCGTCAAAGCACAAAAGACGTTCAGATATTTATTATTGGACACGTGTTCTAAGTTCTAACTACTCTACGTTAACATTTTACAACAGCATTTTAACCGAGTTAGAATCATTTTCAATAGTAGCGATAAAATAATTATAACAACAACAACAACAACAACAACAACAACAACAACAACAATAATAATAAGGAATTAGCCTTTTGATATTATTTATCTAACGGATTATTGTATATAATTAATCGTATAGGAAATTCAGCCTCGTTATAAATGAAATATATTGCCGGCATCGTTTGTTACTCGATAGTATTTCACAACGAGGAATATCTTATTATGGATAAAAGCCAATTCATTTATTATAAAATATTAGAATCTTAGTGTATAATTCATACAGTTAAAATATCAAATACCTCTGGTCTAACAATTGTACAACCAACTTATTTATAAATCACTTTGTAATGCGAATCTATGAATCGATTACAAAAATAGATTATTATAGATTATTATAGAAAATAGATTACACCTTCATCCCTAATAAAGTATATTTAAAATTACACGATCGATAAAATGTATGAACAGGATTTATATTTTTTATTTTTTAATATTATGATATTTGGATGGATAAGTATTTTTTTGTATATAACTAAACAGAATTTTCATTTATAACCTTTATACAATAAAAAAAAAGAAAAGAAAAAAGAAAAAAAATTCAATAATTAACAAAAATTGATTGGATTTTTAATAATAATTTAGATATTAAATATCATATTCATCAATAAGGTTTACTGATATACTGATTAAAATGTAAAATTAGCCTAGAATATTAAAGTAAGTAAAGAATTTTCATATTTTTTATTAATTACTAAAATATCGTATTAAATTTATATCGCCTATTTTGAAAACTTTTTGTTACAATAATGTAATTAATTATCCAATCTGTCGATTATTTTTATAATTAATATAAATACTATTGAAATAAATGAAATGAAATGATATATTAAGATAGTATAAAGAAATAGTTAAATTTTGATATTATTAGATATAAAAGGAAATTTTTTCATTAAATTGATCATAAATGTAGTACGCAAATTTATCTACAAAGTTGAATGTATATATATATATATATATATATATATATATATGTATGAATTTTTTTTTATGAAATAGAATTATAACAATTTTGGTAAAACTATGCGAATTTAGTTGAAATATTCTTTTTCAAAATATGGTATTAGATAAAGTAATAGAAACCTAACGTGGCAGAAGCAAAATTTTCAAGAATACATTCGCTTTCGTATGCGATCGACACATAGTAAACTATACTTTAATTTTATTTCTTTGGGATTTTTTTGTTTTTTTGCCCTTTTTTTTTTTTTTTCTGTTGAAAAGTGGTCGTTTTCGAGTACATAAAATTTAAATGCTTTTACATTCGTATTGATAATATTAAATATCGTTTATTTATTTGAATTAAGACAGATTGAAACGGATCTTGTTACCAGCAGAATTTAAGAAAGATTTATTTTTCAAGTTTCATTTTTTATGCAAATATACTATTAATGAGTATGCTGTCGGCAAACTTGTAGATGCAGTAAGACATATTAAATACATCATGAACCTTATATATATGAAGCTTACACGCAAGTAATACCATATTAATTCTAGGATATTATTCTCACGTTGACACAGTTAGTCATGTTAATGATAATTAAGAATTCAAAAATGTAGATATTGAGATTGGAATTAAATCGTGGAATTCAATCGTAGGAAAAAAAATCTAACAATCAATGCAATTGTGTGTAAGGTTATTCTATGGTTTATTCATGAGCATAGTATGAAGGCGCAAAAGAGGCGTGTTTTACAGAGGCATACTTTTAGAACTTTTTTTTCATACTTTTTGTCAATATTTTATGCAATATGATATAAAACTGCCAATAAAAAAAAAAGAAAAAAGAAAAAAAAACAAGAGTGCAATGCCTAAATATAGGCGACGGGAATAGGCAAAGAAAGAAAAATTTTCGCGACTAAAAAGTTTAAGGTAAAAAATTAAGATGCGACAATCATTTGTTCTAGTCACTTATTTAAGATAAGAGTTTCTCTGCTACATTTTGCTTATTAATGATTTATATTTGAATTTAATATATTAAAAAATTTATTATTATTTTTACTTTGTATGTTCTATTAATTTTATAATATAGTGCATTGAATAAATTGTGAAAAATAATATGAAATTTTTAATAGTAAAACTATATTTATGTTTAACGTGGGTTATACTAAGATATTTAATAAGATGCATATGTACAAAAATTAAAATCAAGGTATTTCTAATTAATGGAATGTAATGGAATAATAAAGAAACAACGATCAAACTAAATTTTCATTAAATGAGTATTTAAACATTAGTTTCTTTAGTCTCAGTGCTTAATGATTTTACAAATTAAAAAGTTTAAAAAAAAAAAAAAAAAAAAAAAAAAAAATAACAAGAAAAAAACAACCCTAAACGCGAGTATTATTAATTTCACTGCCAATCAATCAATCCATAATAGTCCAGAGAAATCTTTTAATTGATCAGCATAATGTAATTATCTGTTTTATAATACATTTCAATGGATATTGTAGTTAATGCACTAGTAAGGCGAAGATAGAAGGAAAAAGGGGGAGAAAAAAGAGAAACGTTCGTGTAATTATATGGGCAACAATAAAATTCGAATGTATTGACTTTGAAGCACGCGTGCTTCAAGCTTTAAAGTATTTTATCATTGCAAGCTGTCAAGCTTTCATTGAATCTTCGGCTGTTTTGAATTAATCTCGCGCAAAGATGCTTTTAAAACGCAAAGAAGAGAGATGTGCAGCGATGTCGCCCAATCCTCTTAACAAGTAGGATCTCTTCTACTATATACCTTTATCGTCTAATGAATACAGCATGTGCGAAGCGAAGCTTGTGCTCGTGATGAAAATGGAGAAGCCAAGAAAAAATGAACGAGAGAACAAGTGTAATGCGCTGCTAAATTAATCTACATGGTTTTTTAAATCTGAGTAGTAGTACACGCATGTTTTATACTTGATTCTCTCACCCGTATCTTTCTATCTTTTTTTTTTGTTTTTTGTTTTTGTTTTTGTTTTTGTTTTTTTTTGTTTTGTTGTTTTTTTTTTTTTTGGGTCCATTGTGTTTGCTTATTTTTATCTCTTTAATGTCTAACTTAAATTAAGGGATGTAAACGAGATTAGACTCGCCAAGAAGAATTTCCGATTAGCAGGACACTCGATCAAGACTGACTACTACATTTCATAAAACGTATTTAACTTCTCCATGCTTAGATATTCTTTATATTACGAATACAACTTGAAGATGGTATTTTTATCTTGTTTCTTATCTTTTTAATATTTTTTAGAATAATAAATGTATTTTACAGTGAACTATATAAAATATCTAAAATCAAGTAATTCATATTGTAGTTTATTTCTTCAAAATTGATGATGTAATTGACGATAGAATTCCAAATTTTGCCTAACAAACACCCCTTATGATTTTCAATTTAAATCAATTATACCATTATCAAATAAATACGAAAGATATTTGATTTCGTAAATGTTAATACGTCGGAGAGTACATTATCGCAATATCATTAACGATAAGTGCAATTTGCAAAAATATTCCCCACAGCTTATTATTATCAAGCGAACAATGTACTTTGACTCACAGTTAAATTCATTATTTCAAAAACATTTGCATTATCATGGGCGCATGAATGGTTATTATACGATTAACATATAGAATAGTGAGAGAGAAAAAATGATGGATAAAAATATGTGCATTCTTGAGCACGAAGGTATATATATTAGGGGGAGAAGACATATTGGAATTCCTAGGGTTGCTAAGTCCAAATAAACATTCAACGCAGAACAGCTGAGCAGATAAATACTAGTCACTTTCCACAACCATTCTTTCTCTCTTCTCTCGGCTTAACACGAATGCTTTAATACTCACTGGATTCGCTCATATTTCCTGTCCCTTACTTACTCACACGCACCTTCTCTCTCTCTCTCTCTCTCTCTCTCTCTCTCTCTCTCTTTCTTTTTTCTTTCCTTTCTTTTTTTTTTTATCTTCTTTTGTGCTGTTGCACGCTTGCGACTCGCACTGCATTTGTCCTACATTACGAGCGTTAAAAAATTAAGGCTAAACGTAACGACCTGTAATGGAATTGTCTGCTTATTGAAGTTTCTTTTTTTCTTATTGAAAACGATACTTTTCATCGAGATTTTGGATAATAGACGTTCAAACGTATTTCTAGCTCTGCAATAGCAATACGATTCATACTATACGACGGCTCATTTCAGTGTAATAAGCTGTATAACAACGTTTTATCATAAATACTTTAATAGTATTGTAGGAGAAGTGACAATACATAAAA